CTATTATCTAGACCTACATGGTATCAGAGCCAACTCACCTCATTCTCTGTTAGCCCCCCAACCTCAGCCGACCACCTTTTTCCATCACCTAACACTAGTCGGCGCCTCTTCTCCCTTTTCCGACCTACCTTGGCTGATTTCAGGCCACAACCATGTCGTTCTAGGGGTTGCGGCTCACCCGTAGTGCTTGGGTAAGATTTCTGACTCACCCTCTGTTCTCCTCTAGGCCTGTTGATAGACCTAGATTACTCTTCTAGGTCTGTCGACCCTCCTGGCCGTCCCATAGCACCCTTGCGGTCAACTTCTTGCCCAGTCCGACTCTCTCTGTATTGACTGGTATGACTTTGATGACCTGTACTCTCGTTGTTTAGTCTGTACTGTAACCTTATTCTTTGTTTTTCAACAAAAAAATAAAATAATAATAAATAAATAAGAATGCAGTAAACAAAAAAATATCTGTAAAAAAAAATGTTGATAAGTTTTTTAGTTCTTTAATTTTCTTAGTGGTCATTGTACTTGTATTCCTCCACCTTTCGGGTTTGTGATTGGCACTAGTTTTGTTGAGGATTCGATAGTACAATATCCATGACAGATTTCACCAGTGTGTCCACTACTTCTCAGACACTTAGGAGTGAGGGTTCCATTATATCTACTACTATGACTGATAACCCCAACCCTAGTCTTAAAACCACCACCACTCCATTTAGTGGTCAGAACTATCTAGCGTGATCACAGAGTTTGACCATTTTTTTGAAGAGCAGAGGGAAGATGGGGTATGTTGATGGCAGGATACAGGCACCCAGCACCACTGACCCGTGTTATGACCAATGGGAGATTACTAAGTCTTTGATTATGGGTTGGCTTATTCATTCGATGATACTAAAAATTAATGAGGGCTACTTGTCTATGGAGACTGCCTAGGATATTTGGGATGCTGTGGCTGCCACCTATTCCTGCAAAGGGAATTTCTCACAGGTATTTGAGTTGTGCTACCCTATTGAGAGCTTTGTTCATGGGGAGCAGACAGTTCTTCAATATTTCACCTTCCTCACCAACGGCTGGAAACACCTTTATCACCTGTAGGACTATAAGCCTGTTTGCACTGCTGATTCAGTCGGGTACCGGAAGTTCATTGCACAGCAGAGAGTCTTCAAGTTTCTAGCAGGTCTTAATGTGGAGTATGATCTGGTTCAGAGTAAGGTTCTGGGTATGGACACTCTTCCTTCACTTCAGGAGGCATTCACCTATGTACAGAATGAAGAGTCGCCGGTCTGCTATGATGTCACTTGTCTCTACTGACCACTCCGCATTACTGTCTATCCCTAGAGATGGCCTCAGCCTGACTCCCATTCCTCCGTCTACCGCCAAGGAGTCTGTATTCTGTGATTACTATCTCAAGTTGCGGCATACTCGTGAGACATGTTGGAAGCTTCATGGGACTCCGTCCTAGGGTCGAGGTGATCGGTTTGGTTCTAGAGGAGGTCGGTCAAACCAGTCTAGAGGACGTAGCTCTCATCCACGGGCTCGTCAATCTAGTGTCGTTGATACACTTAATTCTACTTCCACTTCCGTTGGCCAGGATTCTGATGGTCTCTCTGGCATGACTACTCATGAGCTTAAGGATGTTTTGTGTCACTTGCTGGACTGCCAGTCTTCTACTGCTCTCAATACATCTTCCTTGTCGTTTACCTGCTCAGGTAACTTAGCCTCTTCTCCTCGTGTTTTCCTTTCTCATGAGTCTTTGCGCAGGATTATTGATTCTAGTGCCTCAGATCATATGTCTGGATCCTTTGACCTTTTCTGTGCCTATAAGTCCTCTTCAGGTCAAGACAAAGTTAGGATTGCAAATGGTACTGTTTTTTCTATTTCTGGAAAAGGTTTAGTCCACGTCACTCCTAGCATACGTCTATCTTCTGTTCTCCATATTCCTAATTTGTTTGTTAACCTGTTATCCTTGAGTCGTATTACAAAGGATTTGAATTGTAGTGTGACATTTTTTCTTGATCATTGCCTTTTTCAGGACCTTGTCACAAGGAGGACGATTGGCAGTGGTAGTGCAAAAAATGGTCTCTACTTCCTAGATCCACCGGACAAGCTTGCTCATTCTTCCACCACGAGTCTTACTACCAAATCTAATTTATGGTTATGGCATTAATGTCTTGGGCATCTTTCTTTTTATTTACTTAAGCATTTATTTTCATCTGTTTTTGCAAACAATAATGTTTCTGAGTTTCTTTGTGAGTCTTGTTAACTTAGAAAATAACACAGAGCTTCTTTTGTTCCCAATTTTGATAAAAGTTTAGTTCCTTTTTCATTAATACATTCGGATGTTTGGGGTCTATCGCATGTTATGTCTGTGAAAGGTCATCGATGGTTTGTTACATTTATTGATGAATTTTCTCGTACTACTTGGGTGTATCTCATGAAAGACAAGAGTGAGGTTTTCTCTGTGTTTCGTAATTTTAATAAGATGATTTGTACTCAATTTGGGGCCACTGTCAAAATCTTCCATTCTGATAATGGAGGTGAATACATAGATTCTAGGTTAGGGCAATATTTTTTTGCTCATGGCATTATCCATCAGACCTCTTGCACCAATACCCTTCAACAAAATGGGTTGGTAGAACCTAAGAATCGTCATCTTCTTGACATGGCTCGGTGCATGTGTTTTTTTATGCGTGTGCCTCGGTTTTACTGAGGCGACGCTGTTCTCACTGCTGCCCATCTTATTAATCGTCTTCTTACCCCGGTCTTGCAAAAACAAACTCCCCTTCAAGTCCTTCTAGGTTTCGAGTCCTTATTTTCTATTCCTCCCAAAATATTTGGCTGTGTCTATTTTGTCCACAATCACTCTCCTACTCCCGGTAAGTTGGATCCTCGCTCCCTCAAATGTGTTTTCCTTAGGTACTCTCCTACTCAAAAGGGGTATAAGTGTTATCACCCTCCTTCTCGTAAGTGGTTTGTCTCCATGAATGTCAACTTCTTTGAGTCCCAGTCCTATTTCTTGTCCTCTTCGATGCAACAGTCCTCCCTTCAAGGGGAGCCTTGGTGTGAAGTGATGCCTGTGATTCCTATGGTGGAACCAGTTGTTCTTGCACCACCATCTCTTACTAGGACTGCAGTACCTAATGTCACCAAGGATAGGGAAGGGCAAGTTTATGTCAGGGACAAAGACAGACAGAAAGTTAACTGGATATAAAAGACCACTTCTGCTCACCCACTGCCATCTCCTGCTTCTAATGAGAGTCCAGGAAACTTTGAATCTCTTGAGTCTACTGATCTTGATACTCCTATTGATCTTGATGTTCCTATTGCCAAGAGAAAGGGTGTGAGATCTTGTACTCAACATCCTATCTCAAATTTTATGTCCTACTCTCATTTGTAGTCCTCATATAGAGCTTTTGTGTCAAATATTTCCTCTGTTAGCATTCCTAACCATTTTCAGGATGCTCTTGCTACTTCTGAGTGGAAACTTGCCATGATTGAGGAAATGAAAGCACTTAGGAAGAATGACACTTGAGAATTGACTGAGTTACCTAAGGGCAAACGACCTGTGGGATGCAAATGGGTGTATACTGTGAAACACAAAGCAGATGGTTCTATTGAGCATTACAAGGCTAGACTTGTGGCAAAAGGGTTCACTCAGACATATAGCGTTGACTATCAGGAGACCTTTGCACCTGTGGCTAAGATGAATTCAGTCAGAGTATTTCTCTCTCTAGCAGCTAATCTAGATTGGCCAGTTTATCAATTTGATGTAAAGAATGCCTTTCTCCATTGTGACTTAGAAGAAGAGGTATATATGGACATTCCTCCTAGTTTTGAGGATCATCAGACAGAGGGTAAAGTATGCTGCCTTCAGAAGTCATTATATGGTCTGAAACAGTCTCCAAGGGCTTAGTTTGAGAGATTCACTTTGGCTATGCTTAAATACGGCATCAAACAGAGTCAGGCAGATCACACTTTATTTGTGAAACATTCATCACGTGGTTGTTAGAATATATGTTGTATTCTATTTTTTATTTTTCCGAATCAAAGGCGTGATTGTGTTAGAGTTAGAGGTGTGATTGTGTTAGAGTCCCAGTAGAGACATAATTGTATTTTCCTTTTCGGTTTAGGATTTAGGGCTATATAATCTAAGGTCTGATTGTAATCATAGACACAATTGAATATGCAGAAATACTATTAAAATCCACCTCACCTACTCCACTAAACCTAACCCACTACTCTCCACCTACTTCACCCACTTAAACCTACTCCACTAAACCTAACCCACTACACCACTACCACCTCACCTACTCCACTAAACCTAACCCACTACACCACTGCCACCTCCACTTCACCTACTCCTTACCTACTACACACTCACCCTCTTCTATATATAGGAATCATGAATCATTGTAATAGATATCAACATAAATCAATCAATAATACAATTCTCTATTTCTCTTTATACATTAAATTTCTACAAATACAGAAATCTTACATGGTATCAAAGCCAAGTTTCGAAACCCTAGCAGCCATTGTTGAAGCTTTTCTGTTTTGTTGAACTCTCTGGTTCAATCTTGTGAATACACACGACCCATCCTATTTGAGATTGGGTTCGGTTCATCTGGTCTGGTTCATCTGGTCTCCGTTCAAATCGATCCTGGTCTCTCTGTCTCTTCTTCAGATCTTTAGTCGGACGCTCTCCGTTGTCTTGCCATCACGATCGTGGTTGATCGCGATCGTGGTTGATCGCCATCGCGATCGTGGTCGACTACTCTCTCTGGTTCAGATACTCAAACACACATATCTGGTTCGTGGGTTTTGATCTCTCTCTTGGGTCACGGTTCATCTGCTTCGTCGTCTGGGGCTCTGTTTGTCTCTCTGTGTTCGTGTTTTTTTTTGGCTCTATAGTACTGTTCTTTGGCTCTGTTTGTCACTTGTAAAATTTTATTTACAGTTTGGCTCTTGGTATTAGTATTATCTTTCAACCTGTTAAGCCTTGCTTTATTATAATGTCGGAAGATAAAATCCAAGCTATTAAATGTAAACTTACAAGTGACAACTATACTTATTGGTCCAGTGTTATGAGAAATTTTCTTCTTGGTCGAAAAAAATGGGGATATGTTTCCGGCTCTATTCCCCGTCCATCGGATCCTAAACAAGAAGAATATCTGCCTTCCTGTGACACTTGGGATTGTGATAATGCTCAAGTTTTGACCTGGTTCCATAACTCTGTGGATGACCGTATCGGGATGATGTTCTCTAAATATAGCACTGCCAAAGAGGTGTGGGATTACTTGCAAAGTGTTTATCACCAGTCGAACTTTGCCAAACGGTATGAGTTAGAAACAACTATTCAGGGAGCTCGTCAGCGGGATCTGTCTATTCAAGATTTCTACATTGAGATGACAGGTCTCTGGGATCAGTTGGTCCTCATGGAACCATCTAGCCTCAAGACACTAGACGTTTATGTTGAGTTTCGAAAGCAAGGTCGTTTAGTGCAGTTCTTAACAGCTCTCTCCCCTCAGTATGAGGCGATCCGTAGTGGCATCCTTCACCATTCTCCTCTTCCCTCTGTGGATGCTATTGTTCGCGAGCTCCTCTCCGAAGAAACCCGTCTTAAGACGGCCAGTCAGACTCTGTCTCCATCTGTCTTCTTGGCTCCTACTTCGTCTCCTCTGCTGTCGAACCCCCTACCTCATCAGCCTCAGACTAATGCAAAGCCCAAGAAGGGGCCACTAGCATTTGATGAGTGTGCTTTCTGCCATCAGAAGGGCCATTGGAAGTACAATTGTCCCAAGAAGGGCCGTCAGTCTGCTTAGTCTTCTCAGCAGCATCAGCTTCAGTCCCGAGGTCTTGCTCCGAGTACTTTTCGCCCTCCTGCTGCTTATACTGCCTCTGACCCGGCTTTTGATCCTGACTTGGCTTCCTTGAGTGCCCAAGTTTCTCAGTTCCAGCATCTCTGGTCCACCTCTCAGTCATCTTCATCTGCCTCTACTTCCACCTCTCTTTATTCAGGTTTGCTTGGGTCCTCTTCAGGTATTCCTTTCTCTGTCTGGCTTTTTGACTTTGGTGCCTCTCATCATATGACTCCTTACCTTTCCTTACTCCAAAATTGTATCCCCCTTCCCTTTCCTATTACTATCAATACTGCTAATGGGTCTGGTATGTCTGTCTTATCTATTGAGTCTGTTTTACCCTCTGCTATGTTTGCTGTTACTATTCCCTCTGTTCTTTATGTTCCTCAATTGTCTGTTAGCTTGCTTTCTATCAGTCAATTTGATGCTTCTGGTTTTGATGTTATCTTTTCTTCTTCTATCTGTTGTGTACAGGATCGGGTGTCCAAGAAGCAGATTGGAACCGGCCGTAGAGTTGGAGATCTCTATGTAATGGAAAGCCTGCATCTTCCTCAGTCTACCTCCCCCGTTGCACTTTCATCTTTTCAGTTAGATTCTCAGTCGAGTTAGCTTTATTTAAGGCATTCTCGCTTAGGTCATTTGTCTGTTGACCGCTTGCGATCTTTAGCTTAGTCAGGATTGTTAGGTGAAGTTTCTCCTAGTCAAATTAATGAGTGTCGAGGATGTAAACTTGCTAAAAGGACAACCTTACCTTTTAATGACAGTACTTTTATTTCTACTTCCCCTTTTTCTCTTGTATATACTGATGTCTGGGAACCTTCTCCTGTTCTCACTAATGGGGGTTCTGCATATTATGTGTCATTTGTTGATGATTGTACCCGCTATACCTAGGTTTATCTTATGGCTCATAAATCTGATTTCTACCAGATATATTGTACCTTTCAATCTATGATCACTACACAGTTTCGGGCCACAATTAAAATCCTCTGGTCTAACTTGGGTGGGGAATACTTTAAAACTGAATTATGTGAGTATTTGCCAAATTTGGCACCATTCACCAAACCTCTTGTACTGATACCCCTGCCCAAAATGGTCGTGCTGAGCGTAAACACCGTCATCTCCTTGAGACAGCTCGATCTCTTCTTCTCTCTACCTCTGTTCCGGCACCATTCTGGGGTGAGGCTGTTCTTACCACTGCTTTCCTCCTTAATCGCATGCCGACTCCCTTACTCTCCGGTCGATCCCCTTATGAGGCTTTGTATTCCCAACCTCCTAATTATTCCCTCCTACGTGTCTTTGGGTCTGCTTGTTTTGTCCTCCTTCCCCGTAAAGATAGGACTAAACTCAGTGCCCGGTCTGTCTTGTGTCTTTTTGGGTTACAGTCTTACTCAGAAAGGCTACCGCTGTTACAATCTTGTCTCCTGTCGCCTTTATGTTGGCTTTCTAGAACGTCTGTCTTACTTTCAGCTTCCCCCTCTCACTGCTCCCGTTTCCAAAGCGGATTTGGTTCACATTGACCCATTTCCTTCCGAGGTCTTGTCTGATGCGTACATCTCCACTGTTTCCCCTGAGCTTGTCCCATCTTCTCCTCCTACACCTCTGGCTGCTTCTCCTCTTTCGGCTCATTCTCCTCCTCCGTTGTTAGTTTATTCTCGTCGCAAGGCTCCTCCTCCACCGGTTGCTTCTGCCCTTGCTGCTGCTCCCCCTGCTTCTGACGACTCCGATCCTGTTGAACACCGTTATCCTACTCGAGCGCATCATCCTCCAAACAGGTTGGGTTGGTCTAATACCTGTTTTTCTATTTCCTATCGTACTTTTTTGTCAACTATTCATTCTTTTTTCAGAACCTCAGTCTTGCAAGGAGGCCTGTCAGGATTCTCATTGGGTTCAAGCTATGAAGGATGAGTTGTCTGCTCTACAGAACACTAGTACTTGGGAGTTGGTTCCTTTGCCTACTGGTTGCAAATGGGTCTACCAAGTCAAGACTCATTCTGATGGTTCTCTTGAGCATTACAAAGCTCACCTGGTTGCCAAAGGTTTCTCGCAGGAGTATTGTATTGATTATGAGGAGACATTTGCTCCTGTTTCCAAGATGACTACTGTTCGTACTTTGATCTCCATCGCTGCTGTTCGTTCTTGGCCTCTTTATCAGATGAATGTTAAGAATGCTTTTCTTAATAGCCATCTCACTGAGGAGGTTTATATGCGTCCTCCCCCTAGCCTTCACCATCCCTCTGGTCAGGTTTGTCGTCTTCGGCGTGCTCTGTGTGGTCTGAAGTAGTCTCCTCGTGCTTGGTATGATTGATTTCAAACTGCTGTTACCGAGTTTGGGTTTCATCCTTCTGCTTCCGACTCTGCTTTATTTATGAGACATACATCGGCTGGTTTTGTTGCTCTCTTACTCTATGTGGATGATATGATCATCACTGGCTCGGACTCTTCTGCTATCTCTGAGGTCAAACAGCATCTCTTCCGCACCTTCGAAATGAAGGATCTGGGTCTATTACGGTATTTTCTTGGTGTTGAAGTTGCTTCTTCCCCCAAGGGCTATTTTCTGTCTCAGGCTAAGTATGCTAATGAAGTCATTCATCGTGCTAGTCTTACTGATACTGAGGTTTCTGATACACCTATTGAGCTTAATGTAAAGCTTAACTCTACTGATGGTGTTCCTCTGTATGATCCCACTTTATATCGCGAGCTTATGGGTTGTTTAGTTTATCTGACTGTCACTCGCCCTAATCTTGCCTATGCCGTTCATGTGGTTAGTCAGTTCGTTTCTACTCCTTGCTCTGCCCATTGAGCTGCTTTGGTTCGCATTCTTCGCTGTCTCCGAGGTACCATCTTTCAGGGCTTATTATTGCCCTCTACTTCCTCTTTGGATATGGTGGCCTATGCTGACTCAAATTGGGCTGGGGATGTTACTGATCGCAAGTCTACGTCTGGTTTCTGTATGTTTCTTGGAGATTCCTTGATTTCTTGGAAAAGTAAGAAATAATCAATCGTTGCTCGCTCTACTGCCGAAGCTGAGTATCGTGCTATGGCTCATGCCACTGCTGAGATTGTTTGGCTTCATTATCTCTTGTCTGATTTGGGTGTCTCTCAATCCTCTCCAACCGCTCTCTATTGTGACAACCGCAGTGCTGTTCAGATTGCCCACAATACTGTCTTTCATGAGCGGACGAAACATATTGAGATTGATTGTCACTTTGTTCGCCAGCATCTGCAGTCTGCCTCTATCTCGCTTCCTTTGCAACTTGCGGATTTCTTCACCAAGACTCACACTACAGCCCGGTTTCAATTTCTTCTTAGCAAAATCTCAGTGTTTTTTGCTAAAACACCTTGAGTTTGAGCGGGGGTGTTAGAATATATGTTGTATTCTATTTTCTATTTTCCGAATTAGAGGCGTGATTATGTTAGAGTTAGAGGTGTGATTGTGTTAGAGTCCTAGTAGAGACATAATTGTATTTTCCTGTTTGGTTTAGGATTTAGAGCTATATAATCTAGGGTCTGATTGTAATCATAGACACAATTGAATATACAGAAATACAGGAAATCTTACAGTGGTAAGACTACAACGCTCATTGTTTATGTGGATGACATAGTTCTTACAGGTGATAATAGTAAGGAAATACTTCTGTTGAAGAAATATTTAGCAAGTGAGTTTGAAATCAAAGATTTGGGGAGCTTGAAGTATTTTCTGAGAATTGAAGTTGCTCGCTCCAAGTATGGGATATTTATCTCACAAAGGAAGTATGTGCTTAACCTGTTAAAGGAAACTGGAATGCTTGGCTGCAAGGCCTGTGACACTCCACTGGAACCCAATCAAAAACTGGGGGATGATGGAGTAATAGCTGTTGATAGGGGGAGCTATCAGCGATTAGTGGGTAAGTTCATCTACCTATCTCAATCCCGTCCTGATATTGTTGTTGCTGTCAGTGTAGTCAGCCAGTTTATGCATGCTCCTCATCAGATTCACTTCGAGACTATCATAAGAATTTTGAGGTACTTGAAGTCTGCTCCTGGTAAGGGTTCGTGTGGAAGTCTATACAGATGCTAATTGGGCTAGTAACTGATAGGAGATCAACTTCAGAGTATTGCACCTTTGTTAGAGACAACCTAGTTACTTGGAGGAGTAAGAAGCATAATGTGGTTGCCAGGTCAAGTGCAGAAGCTGAGTTTAGAGTTATGGCACAAGGGGTGTGTGAACTCGTATGGATCAAGTTATTGTTGAGTGATCTAGGTATTGATCAGACGGACACCATGCAGTTATACTGTGATAATAAGGCCGCCATCAACATCGCTCACAATCCGGTTCGACATGACAGGACAGAGCATATTGAGATTGATTGCCACTTCACTAAGGAGAAACTCACTAGTAGCACATATGTATTCTGTTTGTACAATCTGGTGAACAACTCGCTGACATCCTCACCAAGGGAGTTGGGAGTAAGCCATTGCATGACATCCTAGGCAAGCTGGTGTCACCACTCAAACCCGCCCCTATAAGTTTAGTGTCGTAACCGGTCAGTAATCCGTGATTACTAAAAGCCTGCTTAACAGTAGTACAATAACGGGGCTGGCGGAAGCCATTACATAAGAAAATAAAATGTCCTATAAGCTGTGAAGAATAAATGGAACAAAATGAACCTTTATATATACCCGTATATACATTAGTCTAAATACATCAATTCATGGCAAGGTTGTATATCAAAACATGAACAAAAGAGGGATTACATTACCATCATCAATAGATACACAAAAATTAAAACCATTCATGAGACATGATTGAATCCCAAAAGGGTGATCTCCGGGCCACCCAAAAGCCTTAACACTTGGCTGATAGGAACCTCGCAGTGAGGCACAAAAGCTAGCTTGACAAAACTGAGGCAAGGTCGACGTCACTACGTTCTCTCCTACATTGGATCACCTACATACATATATACAAGAATGAGCTAGAGTCCAGTGAATAACAACAGTGTAAAGAGGTTATGAATGATGTCCTCCTTACTGTAATCCAAAATAGATAGTTATTTATAGCTGTAAACCGAAAATCAGAACCAATTGCATAGCAGATTCATATTTCATTCAGGAATATAGTGGTCATACGTGGTACATCTAATAGCAAAACAATACAAATGGTCCTGAAGACCGAACAGACGGTCATGAAGACCGAACAGTCATATATGATGGCCATCAATACAATAGGTAGAAGTTCCAAAGATCTCTGTAACAGTAACAGTAACCAGATGCTATGGATGCCACAAATATAGTTCAAAAAAACAGGGCAATCATTCATTTAAACAGAAATATCATTTTCAAAAGCGGAGTATAGTATAGGTTGGAAAATACTCATAAGTGAACATATCTTTACAATAGTGTTACTCACAGTTGGCTTCGCAAAACACGTGGATAGGGCGTGGCATTTGACCTACACAGACACATGCAAGCATAACACGTTCAATTCATAGTCCAAGCAACTAGTTGTTATCACTACTTGTTTGTTCGGTTAGCCTGAATTCTTCTTTATTCTCTATTATGCCCGTGAAATGCATATGAACGTCAAATACATGTGAAAATCATGCTAACGGAGACTCGGAAGATGGGAAAATGAAGCAGGAAAATGAAACCGAGCCAGCCTGAAAACCGCATGTGCGGAACTCCCATCGTATGTGCACCAACACATGCAATTGTTTCAGAATGTGCAGCTTCCTCAGCTCTATTTTCTGCACGCGCGGAACTCCCTGCCGCATGTGCGGTTCTGGGCAAAAATCTGTCCGAAAATCTGCTGTAACTTGGAACTTCCCTCTTTTCACAAACCACTTTAATTTGTAAGCAAATCAAAGCCCAAAACCCTTTAAAACATGTTGAATAACCAAGTTCTAACTTCAAATTAAACCATGACTTCAAAACAAACCCATTTGCATTGAAAAGAAAAAGATCAAAACTTTAAATTTAAGGACAAAATCAAGAACCATGGAAATGTAAATTTGCAAGTTCAAAATCCATGAATTTCTTCCTCCATCTACAAGAATCATGCAAGAAATAAGTAATTGAACAATAATGATGATATGTATGACAAAATCTTTCACTATTTCTTTTAATTTCTCCCATTAGGGTTCTTGACATGAATTACACAATCCAATCCCTAATGTACCACGTAGATTCTACAAGTTCAAAGATAAACAACTTAGACTCAAGAATTTAGAGATGAGTTGTTACCTTAAAGGGTTAGTTTGGTGAAGATTTGTTCAATTCCCCTCTTCTTCCCTAGAATTTTCTCTTTCTTCTCTCTCAGATTTGGTCTCTCTCTCTTTTACCTCTTGAGCTCCAAACACAAAATATCTATCTCCATTATCCTTACCCAATTTTACACTTAACTTAAATCTTAAATTAAATCAAATCAAATTCACCTAAACCATATTAAGGCTCAACAACTACCAAACTTAATTATGCTAATTCATCCAAACATTTAATTGGTAACCTTATGATTTAACGATTCAGATAGGTCTATTTCAAGTACTAACATAACTGTCAATCATAACATAATTCAACTAGCTCATGGCACATACTTAACACACATATAAGCATATAACTCACATATAAACACATAATTAAGGTAAGCCACAAAATTAACGGTTACTTAAGGAGGCGGGTGTTACAACTGGGTATGAGAGATATCTTCGCACCAGCTTGAGAGGGAGTGTTAGAGTAATATATTATTAGTTGGGTTATTATTCGATTGTAACTTGTAGAAATTTAATGTATAAAGAGAAATAGAGAATTGTATTATTGATTGATATGTTGATATTTCTTACAATGATTCATGATTCCTATATATAGAAGAGGGTGAGTGTGTAGTAGGTAAGGAGTAGGTGAAGTGGAGGTGGTAGTGGTGTAGTGGGTTAGGTTAGTGGAGTAGGTGAGGTGGTAGTGGTGTAGTGGGTTAGGTTTAGTGGAGTAGGTTTAAGTGGGTGAAGTAGGTGGAGAGTAGGTACTACCCTTAACACTTAACACTCCCCTTTAAGTTGGTGCAAATATGTCTCTCTTGCCCAACTTGCAACAAATAGGGTGAAAGACTTTACTACTAAGACCCTTAGTAAAAACATCCGCCAGTTGATCTTTAGACTTAACAAAAGGCATACATATCATGTTCTTATTCAACTTCTCCTTAATGAAATGTCTGTCAATCTCAATATGTTTAGTCCGGTCATGTTGAACAGGATTGTGTGCAATACTAATAGCAGCCTTGTTGTCGCAATACAAAGTCATGGGATCACTCCAATCAAGCCCTATATCACTCAACAAAGATTGAAGCCACATTAGTTTACATGTTCCATATGCCATAGCCTTGTATTCAGCTTCAGCACTAAATCTGGAAACTACCGTCTGTTTCTTACTATGCCATATGACTAGATTTCCCCCTACAAAAACACAGTAATCGGAGGTAGAGGGTCTTTCATCCACAGAGCCTGCCCAATCTGCATCTGTGAATGCTTCCAACCTCAAGCGACCATGATTAGAGAACAAAATTCATTTTCCGGGGGCAGATTTAAGGTATCGCAAAATGCAATAGATTGCATCCAAATGAGTTGCACGAGGATCATGCATAAACTGACTCACTATCCCAACTGCATAGGCAATATCTGGACTAGTATGAGAGAGATATATCAGTCTTCCCACAATTCTTTGGTACCTTTCCTTCTCCACAAGCTCACCAATCCTACTACAAAGACGATGATTAGTCTCAATCGGTGAATTAGCTGGTCTGCAGCCCAACATGCCTGTTTCCTCAAGAAGATCTAGAATGTACTTCCTTTGAGAAATAAAGATGCCTTCATCAAATCTGGCAACTCCAATCCCAAGAAAGTATCTCAATGGACCAAGATCTTTTATCTCAAGCTCCTTGGCTAATTGCATCTTGAGATGGGTCACCTCCTCCTCATCATTACCTGTCACAACTATGTCATCCACATAAACAATAAGCACTATTACCTTATGTACATTGCGTTTGACAAACAAGGTGTGATCCACATTGCTTTGTTGATACTCAAATCCCAGCATTGCCCTTAGGAATCTACCAAACCAGGCTCTAGGAGATTGTTTCAAACTGTGCAAAGCCTTCTTCAATCTACAAACCTTTCCAACTGTAGACTGAGATGAGAATCCTGGAGGTACATCCATATATACCTCCTCCTCCAAATCCCCATGAAGAAAAGCATTCTTCACATCTAGTTGCCGAAGAGGCCATCCCAAATTAGTAGCACACGACAGAATAGCTCAAATGGAATTCATCTTTGCTACTGGGACAAAAGTTTCTTAATAATATATTCCATATGTCTGGGTAAATCCCTTGGCCACTAGTCTTTGCTTTGTACCGTTCAATCATCCCATCTGCATTGTGCTTAATGGTGAACACCCACTTACATCCGACTGGTTTTTTCCCATTAGGAAGAGACACCAACTCCCATGTGTTATTTTTACTCAAAGCTTGCATCTCTTCTATCATAGCTATCTTCCACTTAGGATCATTGATGGCTTCTTTCCAACCTTGTGGAATACACACAAAAGAAAGAGATGAAACAAAAGCACGATATGGAGAAGACAACGAATCATACGACACGAATTTAGAAATGGGGTGTTGAGTACATGCTCTAACACCCTTTCTGAGAGCAATAGGAAGACTCAAATCATCAGTAACAAGACAATCAACAACAGGTGAAGAAATGAGTTGAGGATCATTACATGTAGAGTCAGTGGAAACTGGGTGTGGAATTGGCATAGGAGATGATGATTGAGGTGGTGGCACAAGAGAAGCCTGCTCTTTCTGACGCTGTGAATAAGTCTTAAAATCAACTCTGTCCAAACGACCATCGATATCTGACTCCTCATCAATAGAACTGCTAGGCTCCCCCTCACCACAAATAACAACCACTGAGTAGGAAGGAAAAAAGACAACTCATGCTGATATGATGCTGTCTCATCCGCAATCTCATCGATACCACTCTCCCCCTGAGGAGATAGCGGAGGACCAGAAAAAAAAAGGACTCAGATTCACAGAAAGTGACATCCATACCAGTGTTTTTAAAGGCTTAAGGCGCACCAAGGCGCTGAAGGTCTCTCGGGGCCTAGGTGCAAGGCGCAACGCAAGGCAAGGCGCGAGGCAAGGCGCGAGCTTTATTGAAGTAAGGCTCACAGTCTTAGTAAAAAATAGAAAAATTAACATAGACTAATCATTCATAGTACTACGACAATTTTTTTAAAAATATAAAGTAATCAAGATGTAAAAATTTATGTATTATTGATTGATGTTTATTGATATATACAATGATTCATGATTCCTATATATAGAAGAGGGTGAGTGTGTAGTAGGTAAGGAGTAGGTGAAGTGGAGGTGGTAGTGGTGTAGTGGGTTAGGTTTAGTGGAGTAGGTTTAACAGTCCCCCTCAAACTCAAGGAGGTTAGACACAAAC